CAGCATATTGCCCCCAACAACAATCCGGGTCCTCATTTTACCCACCTCGGAAGGATGGAAGGCTGAGTCAACCTTTGAGCCGATGAGATTTGAACCACCGAACTGCAGAACTGCAGTCAGCTGAAGTAGCCTGCAGTGCTGCATTTAACCACTGCGCCACCTCGGCTTAGCAGCGTGCCTAAGGTCCCTGTCCTACTGTCCCCATTTATTTGTACCCATTTCCTGTGTTCTTATTCATATTTATTCTTATTCGTGTTATCTTGTACTACATGAATGACAAACTAACTTAACTAAATATTTTCCGCGTGCTTCGTCTGCAAGCTCTCGTCTGCGGCGTCAGGACGCCACAATGCAGAGAGAACCGAGAATTTCCTGAGAGAGCCGAGGCTGGCTTCTTTTGGGCTCCGCGCAAGCCTTAGGCCAGCGTGGCGATAGAGACCGCAGCTACCTGCACCCGAGGAAAAGGAGCAGGTGTTCCCAACCTTTCCCCGCCAACTATAGCTTTGCCTGCCTTCCCCTTTCCTTTCCCGCCGCTTTGCAACGCCTCGAACTCTGCGCTCCTTGCAGGTCTGCCCAGGATTTTCTGGTTCGGTTGTAAAGTAAGCCAGAGGGTTTTGCTGGGCATGCTCGAACTCCACCCGCCGCGCCGGAGGAGGGACTAGCTCCGCAGAAGCGGAGAGCAGAAGGATGCGTGCGGGTGCCGCTTTGGGTTGGCTCCTACGGCTGTCTTGGGCAGCTCAGCAGGGCAGCGTTTCCGGCAGGGGAAAGGCAGCCACGCGGCTTCTGCAAGCCCGGCCGCTGAGTTGCCGCGGATATCCACGCGGATTCATGGCTCAGGCTCAGTACGACACGGAGCAAAGGGGGCGGCTGCATTCGGCCGAGTTTCGCCTCTATTTTAGTAAGTAGTTCCCGGCGGTGGAGAAGAACCCGCGGCGGAGGCCCTGGGATTCCTTTGGAACGCGCCCGGAGGGGGTTTCCCCTGGCTGGTGACGCTTTTTGATGACGTTGTACGGACCCGCTCCGGTCTGTCCAATGGAACGGCGTTGAAGGCGGGTCTTTCTCTTTATTGGTAGAGGCATAATATAAGCAGGTCCCTCGGAGAAGAAGTTTAGGTGACTTTGGTCGTCTCTTTTTGGAGCGTTCTCCGCTTTAGTGATATGAATAATTAAAGTTCTTTTTTCAATCATTTTTTTATATTCTTTATACATATCAATGCATGAATGGTGTGGTATCTGGGTATCATACATTTCAGTATATATAAACATAATCTTATTACTCCTAAATATTACATTTCTTTTATTTCATATTATTTATATATGCCTTTTATTATCAGCCTTCATTTCTAAACCTTTCTGTCCTTTTGTACATCTTAACATATTAATATATAGTTACTATTCCCCTCTGTTTTCTATCCCTATTTTAACTCCCCCCTTCATATCACTATAATAATCAAATACGTGTTTTTCACCTGTTTTGTTATTCAAGTTTCATTAATTAAATCAGAATTTCATCCTTCATTCTTCCATTATTAAAGTTCTTCTATGTGAATCTTTGTTCTTCTGGTTGTTGTGTGGGTGTAAAATAGATCCCAGGGTTGACCCTTGTCTGCCTGGAGTTGTATGTTCAAATTTCACTACTCCTAGTCTGTGTAAAATGTCACATGTCAGATATCCCATGTGGCAGCTATATAACAATTTAGAGAGGGCTTTTGGGGGGGGGGCAGTGAAGGCTAATAATATTTATGCACTTCCACAGATTCCCTTAGCTGAATATGGGAGTGAATTCAGTTGCACAGTCTTGAACCTGATTGCATTTTCCTCTCCATTGTGTCTTGAAATGAAAGACAGGGCTGTGATATCCTTGGGAATAGCGTTGAGATACAGAGCAGGTGGAAAGGCAAGACCGGTGGAAATGCGTATTATCTCTGATAATAAGGATAGTGCAGCAGTTTAGAATCTGCCTTGATCCACAAGTTATGTTATCACTATCCATTCCTTGCTTTCAATTTTGTCAGGATGACTGAAGATCGGTTTGGATGTGTTTGTGGTTTCATCTGAATATCTAGCACCAGCCCTCTCCCTAAGCCTGGAGTCTAGCTTGCTATTCTAGACAAGACAAGAAATCATGGTACATTAAAGATCATTAAAGATTTGTTTCTACCAAGGGGTATGGGTAAAAGACTCAAGCTTGTTTTGCGTAATTCAATAAAACAGTGGTGTCTGAACATGGCCAACATGTATATTTGAACATGTCTAATGTGTATATTTTAGCTAAACAAATAGTTTCTGCAGTTGAGTACTATGAGTTCTGTTAAGATGAAATCAGCTGAAATGATCAAGTGTTTTTTTTCTGTTTGCATATAATGTTATTTTCTCTTGCAGAGAACTCAAAGGGAAAATATATTTCTCCATTCCATGACATCCCTCTATTTGTTGACCCAAATGAGGTAATTAAATATGAAAGATATCCTTTTTGTTGAAGTACTGACTCTTCAGCACCCCCAAAAAAGGTGTGAATTAATCTCTGGACTTCTAGTTTTTAGTTTTTACAATCATATAATTATAATTAAAGTCTGATATCATCCACTTCTTAGGATATTAAATGGCAAAAATTGGGTTCCAAAATATATTCCCATGTTAGAAAATGTTAGAAATCAAAGGTATAATAGCCATGTCAGACTATTTTAGCATTACAGCAAATTTGTTTTCTTTCCTTTTGCTTATATCAGCCAATGAAATATTTGTTTTGAAAAGCTACATTTTGCTATGCTGTAGTCAAAATAGTGGAGGAAAGGCAATTTATTTTAAAAAATCAGTAGTCCTTAACTTTATTAACACCTGTGCTTCTCCAATCTTTTCAAAACTACCGATTAAGACAATGTGCCTTGCCAGAATTTATCATCTGGCAGAAAAACATCTGTCAATCACAATTTCTCAAGACTCAGTCCAAATTTAGTTCCCCATATTGTCTGCACATGTCTGATATTGAGGCAAAGGGGGAACAAGTTCTCATGCTGCTTTGCTTTTGCCTGTGCAAGCCCAATCAGCTTTCAATAAATTCTGCAGCTCCATCTAAGTTGCTAGTGATCACAGTTTGAGAAATCTTGGTTTCATCATTAGGTGATTCTGAAAAGATACTGTTTACTACAGATTTGATGTAAGCAAACCTTCGTTTTAACTAAGTGTGTTGTAGAAATGCAGCTGCTGGGAATTATAGACCATAGTTCATAGCCTAATGTCATGTGTAAATCTAGTCATTGTTGAACATACTACCTGCTAATATATACTACACAAATTATGGTTATGATTATGATTTGTGTGACTTGTAAAAAGGATAGCAGACTTAATTTTTTTAAGGTTTGAATTTGATAATTTTTGACAGACTATTTCGCTTAGTATCATTTGAGATCTGCATATTTATGAATGAGCACTGATTCTGTATTGATTTCTTGCACAGGATGAGGAGGTTCCTTCAAAACGGTCAAAGAACAATGGAAATGAGGTACAATTGTAGACCATTTTTTAGATTATTTATAATGTGATTTGTGAGTAAGAAATTTAGAAGATGATTATTTTCTATCAAAGCTGAGCTACATTCTACAGCTTATTCCATTTCATGCAATAAAATATGTAAATTGGAGTCTTCTATCTTTAATTTAATGGAGTTATGATTATTATAGAAAGTTATATGGCTTATGAAGTTAGATTTTTATTATTTTATTTTCCAATTAAGTTTTGTGCATCACCTTGGATCAATGGAAGTAAGTGGTAAACAAGAAATTATAATCATTTCTTAAATTCTGTAACCTCTTCAGTGGTACCTATTGTTTGGAAGAATAATGGTGATTTCTCTAGTTTTATACAAGAGATCTCCTAGGCATTTTGTGTGTTGTAGAAATGAAGAGCAACCTTTTCTGCTCATTCTTTCGTTCTTTTTGTGTATGTGGGGTGGAACAGAATTGTAAGAGTATTCATCCTGTCATCAATCCATTGGAACCCAGTTCCAATTTTGTTGCTAGGGTAATTTCTGGTGATATTGTGCTTAATACACATCAAGTACTTGTTCATTTATCATGCCCAGTATGATCTGATGCCCCACTTTTGTTCTCAATATTTGTTTTTATAAAAAGATTAATAGCTGAATTGTTCAGAAAAATAAAGTCCATGAAACAAGGCATTGTTGTCTCTTACTGAACCCTGGACATTATATAATGCAATAGAATATTTAATATATAAATTACATGGAAGGAAAAACCACTTAGGGACAGCTAAGTTTTCTTTTTGGTTGTATCCCTCTACTTCAGGGGTGTCAAACTCAAGGCCCACGGGCCGGATCCAGTCCATGAGGTGCTCAGATTTGGCCCGAGAGGCCGCCCTGGAAACAGTGAAGGATCTGCCCATAGTGTTTCCGCCAGCAAAAATGGAGTTTGGGAGGCCCCTGTGCGGCCCTTCCAAGAGCCGTTTTTGCTGGTAGAGCGCTGCAGGAGGCCGTCGCAGCCGAAAACGGAACCTGAGATGGGTGCCCCCAACATGAGTTATGTTAGCTGGTGACATCGACCCGGCCCCCGAGGTCAAATCCTGATGCAGCCGTCAATGAAATTGAATTTGACACCCCTGCTCTACCTTGCAAACTTAAGATGTGACTCAGAAAGAGAGAGAATCATTTGTCTTCTCTAGATCTAAAGAAGAAAACAGCTTTTGCTGGCAGTGCATTTTATATGTTAACCTGTGTTGGTATTTTTTTAAAATGTTACTTTTCTTTATTTTTCCTACTAGGTTGTCTTTAATATGATTGTAGAAGTGCCTCGATGGACAAATGCTAAAATGGAGGTAATTTGGAAATTTTTACTCTAGAAGATTGTAAAGCAGCTTCCAAATAAAGGAAGTAAAAGTTGCGACAAAGCATTGTATGAGCATCCATTCATAGTGTCTTCCAAATATCAGAGGTTTGTCTTTTTTTAAACAGATGCCCTCTTAATGTCTTAATAGAGGTTCTTATAAACTCTGGTGTTTGGACTTGGAAAGCAGCCGTACAAGTTGAATGAATATCCTTTACATTTGTATCCAGTGCTTGATTGGCATGTTTGACTACTGTATATTTGAAAGAGGAATCTTCATGCGATTGTTTCTTCCTAGACATAGGAAGGCATCACATTTGGGGAATCTCTTTGAAGTGTTTGATGCTGCTCTTCTTTATATTGAACACACAAACAGCAGATAGCTTTTGAATTCCCTGCTTGTCTGTTATGAGTAGTGACTACACATGGGTGGTTCAGTGGCACGTGAGAAGCTGTATGGTATTGTTCTTCCTGTGCACAAAATTTAAAAAAAAAGTGTTGTTCTGGAACAAGGAACAACCAATCCCACACAAAATATTTTGGCAGGTTATTTTGAGTAAGTCATGTTCCAGTGGAACATAACTGAAAATATTTCCAATGTCCCTCTACAGAGAACAATGGAAATTCAAAATTTGCTTTCTAATGAAATGGCTGCAAATATAATGGAGTGGTAACCTATGCTGAGTGCTACTTACCTCCAACCTATGGGAAATTGCTTTTTAAAAAAACCTTTAATATTAATGATACAATTTCTCCTCAATTTCCCGTTTATACTTCCCATCCAGTTTCACACGACTGAATAGTCCTCTGAACTCAGAAATTAACAATCTATTGTTATTTCATGTTCATCGTGCTGAGTAAGTCTTCTTCCAAATCTCACCCTAAAGTTCTCTTTAGCATTCTACTTTAATATTCAAAAATTTTAGAAACTAGAATAAGAAGAAATCCCCATCTGCAGATCCATGTTTTTTTCTTATGTTACAAATTTTGTCTAAGTATTCTGTTTTAATCTTCTACTTTTAGAAATTAACTAAACTATAAATTGAAATATAAAGTCAGAACTGTGTTGAGTTTTTTCAGTATGGGAGTAAATAGTTCAGCCATATATTCACAATCTCTCCCAATTTTTCTCCATCCTGATTTATATTACCTTCAGATTGCCACCAAGGAACCAATGAATCCTATTAAGCAAGATGTAAAGAAAGGCAAGCTGCGATATGTAGCAAACATTTTTCCTCATAAAGGGTACATTTGGAACTATGGGGCCCTCCCACAGGTAATGTTTTGGGATTTGTTCATTTAGGGAATTTATAAATTGGGAATGAGGGCATGTTCTGCAACACCGCAGTCACAATAGAATTGAGTTCAAAATGGAACATATACCTCAGAATACTGCTGTCTCATTATCAGAATGGGAAAAGAAAACTTTGGGTATAAACTGGATTTAGTCCAAAGTATTTTTTGCAAGATGCAGTATAGGCCAATTTTTTTCGCATATAAAAAAAATAATGTAAAAAAGAAAATGATATCTTCTTCAGCCTTCTTGAGCTTCACTCCTAATTTTATTATTAGAATGATATAATAATTTGAGATTTAATTGGTATTTACACCTCAAAGTTGATAGATCCCTTGTGTTGGCCCAGTTTCAGATGTATGCAGGTCTGCAGTTCTTAAGAGTTTCAAAATAGTGCAAAATTCTGGGAATGGTAGTCCTGATGTATCCAGAGGATGCCAAGATTTGAGAAGACAATTCCAACTTCCAACTAATCTGGAACATAGAATCTTTGACCCTCTGGATCAGGGGTGGGTTTCAACCGGTTCGCGGCGGTCCCTGCGAACCGGTTGGTCGCCGAACCTGGAAGTAAGTAACTTCCGGGAACGGCGAAGGGGCCGGCCGGCCGCCCGCGGTCCTTACCCGGTTTTGACGAGTTCTGCGTTTCCACGCATGCGCGGGACACATCCAGCGCTTCCGCGATCGTCCAGGAGCAGCTGGAGCGTCGCGCAGACGCTAGTACGCATGCGTGCACCGCACACGTGCACGAGGACACCGCCGGCCCCGTTCCAACCGGTTCGGTTGGAACAGGGCGAGAAACCCACCCCTGCTCTGGATGCTTTTGAAATACAACTTATAATAGCATAGAGGTCTGGCATAGAGGACATCAAGTCCAATAATCTTCTGGTCAGTGCAGGAAACCAGATTAAAACATTCCTGATAGATGGGTGTTTTGTCTCTCCTTGATAGATCCAAGAGAGGGAAGCTCAGCATTTCACTTGATAACCTTTTTACTGTTAGAAAATTTTGCTAATATGTAACTGGAATCTTCCTTCCTATAACTGAAATCCATTATCCGTTTTTCTACACTTTGGCCTCAATTCTCTGGGTGACAACCCTTCAGATATTCATTCAAGTATTTAAAGAGCACTAGTCCTCTCCTTGCCTCATCTTTTCTCAAATATAGACATACCCAATTCCTTTCAAAAGACTTAGTGACAGCTTCCCTGATCATTCTTATCACTATTTTCTGAATTTGTTTCAGTTTTCCTGATTTTTTTAAAATGTTATGCTCAGTACTAATACATTACTTGACACTGAGCTGTCAATCAGAAAGGTCGGCAGTTCAGGGGTTCGAATCCCTAGCACCGCGTAATGGAGTGAGCTACTGTTAATTGTCCCAGCTTCTGCCAACCTAGCAATTCAAAAGCATGTAAAATGCAAGTAGAAAAATAGGGACCACTTTGGTGGGAAATTAGCAACGTTGCGTCTGCCTTCGGCGTTTAGTCATGGCAGCCACATGACCACGGAAACGTCTTCGGACAGCGCTGGCTCTTCGGCTTTGAAACAGAGATGAGCACCGCCCCCTAGAGTCAGGAATGACTAGCACATATGTGCAAGGGGAATCTACCTTTACCTTTAGTCCTTTCTGAAAAGTGGAATCTATATTGTATTGTAGTTTTTGCAGCTGTGTCAGATTGCTGCATTGTGTTCATCATGAAGTGACATGAAATTTATTTGAAAGCTTAATTCTTGACAAATCTAAAAACTGACTTGGGAAACCAATTGGTAACCATTTTGAAAATGTCAACAGATTTTGCAACCTGTTCTTACTTTTCCAACTATCGATGTCAGAATGATGGTCTATATCAGCTCCTAAAGAACAGGAAAACATTTGTCTTTCCCCAGTAATCTGGTCTTTAATACTGCTTTAGATTTGTTAAAGTTAAGATAGAAAGAGATTTGCTCAGGCCATTGTCCATGAAAATGTGTACTTATTCAGTCACAGTTGGCATTCCCTGACTCTATTTCTGTCATGCTCAAGCTGAAATTCTCTTCTTTAAACCAACTTTAAACAAATATCTGTTAGAACACCTTTTTTTAAAAATATGACAGGTAAAATAACAAATGAATAGTTCTGAGTTGTTTGTTATATTTTTATCACTCTTTAAAACAATAATTTGGCCATTATTCAGTTATGCCAGGAATGGTAATTTAGAAACATTTGGAAGGCCACAGGGTTTTCACTATTGCATAAACGTATTATAATAGTGTATCATTTTCAAAGAATGTAGCACACATTAAAAAAAAACTTGACCCTCCCTTCTCAGAATGCCAGTAATGTGTACAAATGAACAAAGCAATAATAACCAACTATAAATGGTACCGTTTATTTCCCTTTTTCCTCCCCTACAGACTTGGGAAGATCCAGGGCATACAGATGATAATACAGGATGCTGTGGTGACAATGATCCCATTGATGTTTGTGAAATTGGTGCCCAGGTCTGTTTGAATTACCACAGAAGCATACTTTAGTTGTTTCAACCATTTGTTTCCTAACATAATGATAAAGCTTGTCTAGGAAAGTTGCTGGTTATCTGGTTCGACAACTGGACACAAGTTTCCAGACAGTTAGTTCTTGGTTTCTCAATGAAACCTGACAGGAGAAGTCTTTGAAACAAGATGGGTAGATTAGAATATTGCAGCTAGAATAAAGCCTCAAACTGATTGATTGCTCGCTACAGTGCAAAAAGTAAACAACAATTATATATTTCTTAGGCTTGAAATGCCTGACTATTTAGTGGGTCATTTTGTAACTTGAAGCAGTTGAGATATCTTTATATAATGACCTTCTCTAGCCTCAGAGGGGCAGCTTCAGGCTTTATTCCTATGATTCAGCTGAAATATAAAACTGGTGCAGCGTTATTGTAGAAAAATATCGCCTGTCATAAAAATACGCAGTATAGCCTTGATACTAGAATGCTCTCTCCTCCAATTATGTTTTCCTCCAGAATGTTCTTCCTGTCTCTCTTCGTTCCCCATCCTACCTCAACCTATTTTCAGTTCTGTTCCAGCTGATTTTCCACCTTAAATAGCGTCTTGGAAACAAACAAATTGTGCAGCCTCTTCTATGTTTTAAGGTTCGGACACTTGGTGAAGTTGTTAAGGTGAAGGCCCTTGGAATTATCGGTCTTATTGATGAAGGAGAAACTGACTGGAAGGTCATAGCTATCAGTGTGGATGACCCCCATGCTCAGAAAATCCATGGTATTTAATAATAATGAATAATAATAATCCATTTTGTCTGGTTGAAAAACCCAATCGCTCTGGTTTCTCCTTTTAGGGGCTTTGGGATATGGCTTTCTGCAGGGTGCTAAAGATTGCTAATTAAATGATCTCAGCTTGCCACCACCACCTTTAACTGCATGAATCCTTTGGGGGAATTTTTCTGCTTTCTCTGACCTGTAAACCACTCGGGGCTTATCTCTTCTCTGATTGTTTCCTAGGCAGCATTTCCTCCCTCTTACTCCAAAGTCATTCCTATATTCCAGGGATGTCAAACTTGATTTCACTGAGGTCCCTCGTGTCGGGGGTGCCTGTAGTGGCCAGAGCACTCTGCCAGAGAAATTAGGCTCCTAAGCTCCGTTTTTGGCTATGATGGCCTCTTGCAACCCTCTGCCAGTGAAAACAGCTTGGGGGGGGGGGGGGGGGCTACATGCAGTTCTCTCAAGCTCTGTTTTCACTGGCAGAGGCACCAAGGGGCCTTTGCTGTTTCCAGAGAGGCCCTTTGGGCCAGATCTAAGCACCCCGCAGGCCAGATTCGGCCCCAGGGCCTTGAGTTTGACACCCCTGCTATATCCCATTACAGTGGACATCCCTTCCATATGGTGCCTACCATACCTACAGCTCCATTTGATATTTTACTTAAAAAAAATATATTTCAGTTTGAAAAAGCAACTTTTAGTGACCATATTCTTCTGCAGGGAAGACACACCCTTTGGAAGGGTTGACGGCTGCCCATGGCCTTTAGGTTTAAGTAAATGATTGTATGCCAAAAAGTAGGATAAGGAAGTGGGTAGGATGACAATCTCTAATTTTAACTTGAAATAATGATTACCTGTGACTTTAATGATTTACTCCCCATATATGCACTTGGTTTGAAGGCAATTTTTGCAGAGGTTCTTGGGAGTTTGAAAGCAAACAAAGTATTCAGTCTGTGTATACCGAGCTGAGTGATTTCCTGAATTATATAGATTAGTATTAGCAGATTAGTATTCATTCCTTTGGTTGGAGAGATGCTTTTCTGTTCTAAATCAGTATCATTAATTGGATTGACATACTAAAGCCGTGATGGCGAACCTATGGCATGTGTGCCACAGGTGGCACACAGAGCCATATTTGCGGGCACAGCAGCCCTCAGCTCTGATGTGCCGGCCAGCTGATTTTCGGTCTTCCGGGGGAGGCTGTTTTTGCTCTCCCCAGGCTTCAGGAAAGCCTCCGGAGACTAGAGATGGTGAAAAACAGGCCCAGCAGCCCAACCGGGAACAAACTTCTGGTTGGCCCATTGGGCCTGTTTTTCACCCTCCCCAGGCTCCAGAGGCTTTCTTAAAGCCTGGGTAGGGCGAAAAACGACCCAATGGGCAAATCAGAATTTCATTCCCATACTTCCTATTGGGCCATTTTTCGCCCTACCCAGGCTTCAAGAAAGTCTCCGGAGCCTGGGGAGGGCGAAAATAACCTCTCTGCAGGGGTCACTCATGCATGCATGATGGGTGTCGCTCGCACATGTGCAGGTGGGGTTTTGTGCACACAGAGTTTTGCCACATCTTTAGAAAAAGGTTAGCCATCACTGTACTAAAGTATACTTAAGTTCAGTGTGTTTTATGAACTATTGTGATGTTATTGCTTAATACGCTTTGTTTAAGTAATGGACCATGTTTAGCTCAGACCATTCCACAGACTATGGCTGAACAAAAGGTTGCTGCATTCTGTGTTTCACAATAGATGTTTTTTAGATGTTTTAGCTGCTCTGGCTTCTTAAATCCCTCGCCATGGAGACAAAAATAAGTGTCTGTGTCTCCAATCACAACTTTAGAACACTGAGCTTTTTAAGGAAAGATTTGCATTACAAGGTGCTTAATCGGTAGCCAGGTTATCAAATTTTCCAGTCTGCTTCATCCAATCTATCTTCAATTTGTATAAGAGCCTGTGTGATTGTTTTTATAATCCAGTGTAAGCTAAATGCATTCAACAATTACTGAATTACATTCAGAATTTTTGTATGATATTTCTGTATGTAACGCTCTGTGTAAGCAGAGGATTAAATCTGTAACCCATGCACTTGGGTTTTCATGAGCTCACCCATTGAAATATTTATGACAGATTTATTGCCATATTAGAATCTTGTACATGTATATTTAGAATGGTGGATTTGGAAGAAGCTGTTAATTTTTTTTAATGCGTTTTTAACCTATTGTAGATATTGATGATGTCAGGAAGTTTTTCCCGGGTTACCTTGAAGCTACTGTTGACTGGCTCAGAAGATATAAAGTCCCAGATGGGAAGCCGGAAAATAAGTTTGCTTTTGATAGCACATTTAAAGACAAGGTGAAAAATTGCTTACTTTAAGATGATAAACTTTCTTTAAGAAATATTTATTCTCTGGATTAATGCTCTGTAAAATCGTACAGAATTCCAATCAAGAATATGTAAAGAAGCCATTACTGCAAAATGTTTCATAGTAACTCCAAAATATTTTCCTTCACTTCAAAATGTCATGAAGGTACAAACAACACTGTTCTTTTGTCAAAATATCTGACATGTTTTTTTTCCATCTAGATTCTTTTGAAACTCTGATAGCCCTATCAAACATGAACTAAGTCTTCTCTAAAAGATCTTCAACTTTATTACAACTTGTAATCTGAATGCAGTCCTTGTAGCATCTGAGGTCTCACTGTGGGATATTCCGTGACAAAATGATCCAATTTTAGCAGTGCTGTTTTTTTTTACTAACACTTCCCTCCCCTAATATTGGAATACAAGACCTTCAGGAGTTAAAATCTTCCATTTTCTTAAAAGACTCTGAATTTTTTTTTTAAAAAAAGACCAAAATCAATCCATATAGAAACATCTTCAGATATTAGCTTGTTGGGAGATAGAGTTTTAGCTTCTGCATTAAAAAGAACATTTTGGAAATAATGAGGAATAACGTAACCTCCCCAGTTGCAGTAATTTTCTAAGACTGCCCAAGGAAAATCTGGTGATGTCCAATTTACAGTGCAACTTCAATACAAGTGAGTTTGGGGCTATCTCTGGTCTTCAGGTAGTTCCTGGAGACTAAAGTTCTCCCTACTCACAAACTCACTTGGTAAGATATCTTCTGCGACTTTCCTTAAAGTTTGTCCTTTATGATTACCAGTGTTCTTGACTGTGGTGGCGCAGTGATTATTGCAGAATGCTATATTGCTAACTCTGCCCACAGCCAGGAGTTCAATCCTGATCAGATCAAGGTTGACTCATCCTTCCATCCTTCCGAAGCTGGTAAAATGGGAACCAGATTGTTGGGGACAATATGCTGACATTTATAAACCACACAGAGAGGGCTTTTGAAGCACTATAGTGCAGTGTATAAATCAAAATGCTATTGGTATTTCCAACTATCCTTTATCCTGAATCCTTTGGGGAAAAAAAAACCCCTTCTGGCTCCAGTCATAATCTGGCTCTTCTGTGACCTTATTTAGATGTTTTCCAAGATTTCCAAGATATCAGCCAAAGAGCTGATATTTTTAACTTCAGCATATGCTGAGCAGCTTTGCTTTAAACACAGCCAAAACAAGAACATAATTCACGAGTTTTTGTCACAGCAGTATTTTTTCCCCAAAAGCAGTTTTTCAAGTCTGAAAAAGCTAAGCAGAGTTACTTTTTCCCAGATAAAGTGTAGTCCCCACTGATTTACTTAAACCACCATAATATGTTCTATTGTTATGGAATGCACATTATATTTATTGAAATTTTCTTCCCCCATTTCTATCTCATGATGGTGAGAAATGCCAGTTACCTATATCTGAAAGCTTTGAAGTTTGAAGGTCAAGTAGAAATGCTTAGACAAAATTTCAAAGTTTACTTCTGTCTCTTCTTTTCTCAATGTTGTTTTAAATAGGCATTTGCTTTAGACATAATCAAGTCCACCCACGAGTGCTGGAAAGCTTTGGTTCACAAAAAGGCTGATGGAGGAGCCATAAAATGGTATGCATCTATTGTGGTTTGGTCAAAATCCAATTTGAATTACAGGCAGTCCTCAATTAAGGTAACGTCATTACTAAGTGATGCGGTCATAAAGCATAATGTTACAAGACCATTCCAGGGTACAATGGCAATTCTGGCATTTATGGTTGCCTTCATTAAGCAAATCCTATGCAGTCAAGCCACAACATTATATGATCACCATTTGTGATCTGCTGATTTCCTCATTGACTTTGCTTTTCTGCAATGAAGGTTTCAAACAGCAATTACATGTCAATAGGACATTATGACTATATGTCATGTGGCCAGATCACAATCATGTGATCACAGGTTTTTAATAAGAGACTATGTAAACCACAAAGTGCAGTGCAACAGGGCCGTGCGTCCACCACATGAACGTGCACAGTTCGCACACACAAGGGCGAGCGTGCGCACTTACTGCCCATGACGCTCAGCAACACCTCCACAACACTCAAGCTGCTTGGCAGAGCATCGCATAGGCGCCGTATGCTCTGTGTGCATACGCGGAAGTCCCGAACAGCTCAAAAACAGGTAAGGAGCGCCGGTAGGCGCTCCGTAGCACCATACTGAAATGGTACCTGGTGCTCCCAGCAGGCCCCGGTACACCCGTACTGGGGTATACTGGTCATATCCCATCACTGGTGCAGAAATTCCCAGTTTAATCTATAAACTTTCCATGTTAGATTGGACAAAATATCTCAAATCCTGGACAGCATTTACTGTTCTGCACTCTTATTTTGTTCTTTTCTTATTTGTGCTCTAAATCAGTGGTCCCCAACCCCCGGTCCGCGGACCGGTGCCGGGCCGCGGAGTACCTGGCACCGGGCCGCGCAGTGGCCGGGGGCCATGATCGCTGCAGCGGCCGGGGGCCATGATCG